TGGAAGCGCGCGGGTGTCCCGAGAATCCCGTAGTGCCGCGTCCCACCGACAACTGTCACTGTTTCCTTATTTCCCCACCTCCGTAAACCTCAGTGTTCCGTTTCTGCATTTGCATCTCTTATCCCTGTGTGAACTTAATAGATTTAGCCCTTGCTCGCTGCTGGCGTATTGCAGACACAATGCAGTCATAAAATGAAAGGTGTAAAATAAAGACAGCGCAATCCTGCTATTGGCTTTATTTGTTTATTGGAAAGGGTTTAATTTCTAGCCTGGTTTCCTAAAGGAAATGTAGCTTGTGCCACCTTGTTGGTCTCTTCAATCATCTCTCTCTCCTTTTCTCTCCAGAGCTGTGTTCCCAATCCATAGGCTGGTTAATCTGGATGTTCCTCACTGCTCCAGCTTAGATACGGGAAAATTATTTTTTAAAAAGGAAAAAAAGTATCTCATTCACTTTCACTGGGGAGTACTTCAGGATTTAGTGCCACTCCAGCAGCCTCTATATCACAGAGCATCACATTTATGGTCCTTATTCTCTGCTCATGACTCCAGTGCTTTTGAAACAAACACAAAGGACAGTGCTGTCCGGCCCCTGCTCCATCAGCTCTTCCCATCCTCCCTTCACTACTCCAGGTAGGTGGAATTCCCCACACCCTGCCTGGGGCCATAGGAGGATCAGGCCCCCATCCATCCCAGCCTCTCATCAGCTCCATCATTCCCACTCAGAAAATAGGAATTTATTTGATGTCCTGCTCCTGTCAAACTAAAACTCAAGTCCCCAGCTGTGTTTCTGCAGCAAAATCCTCGGATGATTACACTTTTGCAGCTGAAGGATGCCCTTTTTCCTGACCCTGTGGAATTTACAGGATTTTTCTGCCCAGTTCTTAAGAAATTAATTTCCAGAAGCCTGCAGAGTTCCATCGGGACCCTGATTGGAGCTGGTGTAATACAACACCAATCCTGTGCAGTGACATGTGCTGCCAAAACCCTCTTCCCTTCAAGAGCCTGCAGGGAATCCGTGCACAGGGACCCCAGAGACATCACCCAGTGCTCAGGGGATGCTTTGTTTGGGAGGTGTTCCCAGGCCATCTCAGAAACAAAACCAGAAAATCAATAGGAGAAATTTGGCAGGAAAAAGGTCACAGCAAAGAACTGGGGGTGAAAGCTGGAGACCAGCCTATGGGATAGGGAATCTCTTGGATTGGAAATGTTTGGGTAAATCTACAATTCAATTTAGTTCCTTTCTGGGAAAAACAATAATCATCCTGCTTTCCCTGGGCAGGCTGGAGTTTATTTGGGGCAGGAACTGTCTTTTCTCACAGTTCTCAGTGGCATCACCTAGAAAACATTGGGCCTTCAGGAAACACAGACATGGAATCCAGGAATCATGGAAGGGTTTGGGTTGGAAGGGGACTTAAAGCTCACCTCGTTCCACCTCTCCCATGGGCAGGGACACTTTCCGCTATCCCAGGTTGCTCCAAGCCCTGTAAACCCTGGCCTTGGACGTGTCCAGGGATGGGGCAGCGACAGCTTTCTCCAGACAACCTCCAGAGGGGGCACAGCAGGCTCCACTCACACCCACAGGTACACGAAGATGCTCACGGGAGGAATTATACAATCTCTCTATGTGTGTGTATATATATCTATATATAGTTTATTTCTCACAATCCTGGTAAGAGTTACAGGTGTATTTGGGAATCATTTACAGTTTCACAGCATATGGAGTGGCCATACAGCTTGTGATGTGAGTAACATACAGTGTGTAGAGAGCACACGATTCCGACCCATCCACCCACCACTCACACAATGGGTTTCCAAAGCTAATACTAGATTCAGCTACGGAGAAAGCCTGGAAAATGTCAGGGTACAGCGTTGGGTGTCGTACAACACTGTCAGTCACAATGGGACAAGCTAAACTACTTTAAATTTTCAATCTAGTATTTCTAGTCTACCTGCATTATTGCATTTATACGCTTTTTTTGTTTTCAAAGTCAAAGTAAATAGAATACTATATGGGAAAGGAAAAAATTCTTGACTATTTTAGGATTTGAGCTGCAGCCCATACAAAGTGTCCATAGAAGCATAGACAAGATTATAAATTCAACAAGGTATAAATTAGCTGGATAGCTTTGTGTGTAGGTAGGTGTCCATTTCCCTCCAGGAAATGTGTCTAGCAGCATATTGTTTCTGAGAGCAAAAAAAAAACCCCAAACCTGTATGTTGAACACAGGTAAAGATGTGTAAGTGACAAGCAGGTCTGGTTGTACAGGGAAGAAATCAAGGTGTCACTTGGAAAATTCCTATCGTTTGGAAAACACACTCAGGAGCTGACTCAAAACCCACCAAGGCCATTGGAAAGGTGCCTGAGGCTTCCAAAGGAACAGCAGGCATTTCAGTCTGACTTCTGAGGGCTTTGGATCAGTCCCTGGAGAAGTAACAGAATCCAAACAAACCAAAACCAAAACAAAAATCCCCTGTAATCTGACCTTCAATTTCCCTTCCTAAAATTTGAGTTCCTCCACAAACTGGTAGCCAACCTGCACTGGAAGAGAGTTGGTTTCCTGGGGAGGTGAAACTGCAACTTTTAAAGGCTTCAGTTGAAACAGTCCTGGGAAAAGGCACCAGGGTTATGAAGGGCTGCTCAAAACTCAGTAAAGCCAAATTATTCCCATGTTGGTTGGTTGGTTGGTTGGTTGGTTTTTAACCAAACAAAATTGTGTGGCACCCTTGTTCTCATCAGCTTGCCCCAGAAGCTTGGCTGCTTGAAGCAGCCGTGGCAGAACCAGGGTTATGATGCAGGATGTGACTGTTGGAAAGGTGAATGAAGATTCCTCTTATCCTAGTGGGAGCTTTGGTGCTGCAGCATCATCACACAGACAGAAAGAACCTATACATTCAGGCTTGGGATGCTGCACTGGGGCTGAGGAACGGAAAAGTGATGGAACTGTTTGAGAATTCCAAGCTGGGAACAACTAGAAGAAAAATGGGAACAGCCAGTCCAAAGCCTGTTTAACCCAAGTTATGCTTTTCAGCAGAAAAACCTATTTAGTTTGAAGAGCATCAAAGAGCAGAGGGCACAAGTCGCAGAGTGCTGCATATCCGAGCACACACTGTCCAGAGGAGGGAGCAGGGCTGTAGCACAAGGTAGATCCAAACTCATGAATTTGGAAAGCCAAAGGGTTTGATCTCTCATGAGACTTTGAGGCCTATTATGGCCAATTGAATGAAATGTGAATTTTAGAGGCCCAGACGTCCCACAGCTCCCTATCACCCAGTGACACCTGATCAGTTCACTGAGATGAGACAATCCTTGCACTTCCTGCACCCTCACCCCTGGCACAACAGCTGATCCTTCCAGGCCAGTAGAAATACATGTCCTCAACCTCAAAACTTCTCTTTTCCCTCTGTTTTTGGTGCTCCAGAGGGCTGAGGGAGCTCTGGCTGCAGCCAAAGGCAGTGTGTGCTCACACCATGCCAGCCCCTGTCAAGCAGCCAGAACACCTCACACCTGGCAGGGAAGGACAGGAATTCCTGGGGATTTGTCATCCATCACAAATCCTGTGGCAGACTTACACCCTCAAAGGTGAGGGCAGATCAAAGCTTCAGACACTCCCTGCTGTGACACAGTCTGGGGGCCCAGCACCGCCTGTATTTTTGGGGGAGCACCTAAAACCTGCCTTAGACAACCCAAAATCTGCCCCAGCCTTGGGCTACAGAGAGGCCACACCTGCACAGCTGCTCAGGAAGAAAGTAGGGAAAAAAAAGTGAATACAGTGCAGTGGCCAAAGAAGGAGGAAAGAACAAGCCATGAATCAGATCAGAAACCAATGGAACCCCATAATTTGTAGCAGCTGAAGATCTGGTGTCAACAGACATCCCAGGAATTAGGGAATTTAAAAGGAAATCAGGTTATTGATGGTCTCAAAAAGAAGAGGAAGTCATCATAAACCCACTTTATTCAGTGGATTAAACATCCTTTGAGGGTTGCTGGATGGGGGCACAGGATCCAAGGCTTTTTGGTGCTGTCAGTCAAGTGCCACACTTAAGACCCAAAATGTGCCAACAAATCCTCAGCATCAGCAGATTTCTCCCCAAAAGAGTAAAGGACCAAATACCTCCAGTGTAAATAGCAGGAAATATTCCCAATTCCAATGTCTTGCAGGGAGAATTTACTGGAATACAGAACTGCTATGCTCCAGATCAAAGCCAATTCCTCTTTGTGGTGGGAAGTGCCCAGGCTGTGCAGCAGAACTGCAGCCAGCTCATGAACATGATGTGATGCTGCTTCATCTCTCAGCCTCCTGGTGAAGGGAATGACACCACAGCAAGGCCTGGGAAGGGACTCAGGGAATCATTCCTGCTCCAGCATGGAGGACGGACCAGGAGGATGGAGGTGCAAGCATTTGCATTTGCAGTCCTTGTCATAATGTGAAAAGAGAACACAGCCCCTCCTGATGTCCTGGCAATTCCCCTGAATCATGCAAAGTTGGTTATAGAAAAGTTCAGGTATTTTTCTAACCCTTTAACATTGCTCAGAGCCAGCAGGAATTAATCTGGGAAAGGCAATTAGCAGAGGTTAATTTGCATGGCACCAGAGCTCGTCATTTTTGCCTTTTTCTGAGGAAAGAAAAAGGGAGAAGAGGATATAAAAGTTAGCATGTCCTTACCAAAGCTATTAGGATAATTAAACAGTGCTTTTTCTCTCCACTTCTCTGTTCTGTTCCTGGCACCCTCTCAGAATCTTCACCGACTTGAAGCTTTCCATGGAGCTGATTGAAATTCCAAGAATTTCACCTTTCAAATATATTTTTTCATTGCCTTCCTTTTTTGGTTTACTTCTCAAAGAATCATTTTCCTCTTCAATCTTCAGCACTGTTATTTTCAACCAATTCTAAGAATAGTTAGAAGGCCGCTAAATTCTAAACCCCAGTAGCGTTTCCAGGAAAAGCAGGGAGTATTTTAAGGCATAAATCATCTCTCACCAGCTCCAGGGGCTTTTTGGTTGCACTGCTGTTGTTCATACACAAATCCTGATGCCAGTATAAGCAGAGCTGCCTCAAAGAAGAGACTTGCCTTACGCTCACTCTAAAGAACATTTGTGTCAATTGAAAAGTAAATGTGCAATTGAGATGATTTTATGATGACCTGTGATCATATCCCTGGTGCCAACAAGAACTCAAAGGCCAGAGCATGGTGAAGCCAGTGGAAAAATTCCCCTTGTTTTCAGTATTCTATGGCTCAACCTTCAAACTCTAGTCCATCAGAGACAGAAATGGATGTTTCATTTATCACCCAGCGCCCTAAGAAATGCTTCAGGGCAAGTGACTGTTGAGTGCTTTAAGGGAGCCCCAGGCAAACAGGAATGCATTCTAACCCTCCCCAAAATGCTGCTGCACAATCCCCTGGCTGCCAGATTTGTTTTCGTCCTGCTGCAGCACTGTTAGGAATAACAGGACTTATCTACAGGGTATTAAATCAGTAGGAAGAGGAAGCAGAAGCATAATCCATTTCATCTCTCTTAAAATAGAAGCAGCAAAAAACCTTCTACTGAGTTGTCCAAGACAGCAAAATGACATCTTTATATTCAACTAAAATTTATGATTCCCTAAAAAGAGATTGAGATTGGGTGCAGTGATTCAATCGAGAGTTTTGGTGATAAGCTGAAAGGTCTGAAACCAGTTTTGCCAATATTTAATTTATCGACTTGATCAAAAGAGTAAACTAGCAATCTAGATCTCTTCAAACCCCAAGCACAGACTCTTGATTAGTTTTAAGTGTTAATTCACTCTCCCCATGGAGATGTCACTGGAAGGACTTCATACCACAAAAACCACACAAAGAAGGACATCAAGCAAATAACGGCGTGTGCTCAGTACGAGAGAAAAGACAACTATTTATTTAGCACAGCAGCGAGGTCAGTCTGCTTCCACAGCTTTGGGGCTGAGAGAGGGGCATGTGCTCCCTCCCTGGTGCTCGCTGGACATTTTTGGCTCAGAACAAAAGCACTGCACAGCCTGGCACAGGAAGGCAGGACAGGAGCTGTTTGCAAGGCAGGCTGCGGCATGCTGTGGCATTTACGCTGGATCTGCCCGGCTCAACACTGGAGCCACGCTTGGAAATGCGCTACAGCACGGTCCAGGAGGGTCTAAAAGTGCCTCAATTTAAAGCAAAGAGCCCACAGGACTGCCCAGGGAGGGAGCAGGGGCTCGGGGCTCCAAGCACACCACACACTCAGCATTTCACCAGCCAGACATCCCTTGCACTGAGGAGAAACCAGGACTGGAAAGGAATCCAGGAGCTGCATGGCGTGGTGGGAATGGCACAGAAAAGACATCATGGACACTTGGTGTAACTGCAGGGAACGAAGGAAGGGGCATCTCCAGCTTGGATTCTCTCCCCCTCCCAGACTGCAGCAATGCAACACAAAGGTTTGTACACACACACGCAGGATGTGCTTCAAGGCACACACACACACAGAGACACAGAGGTGTTTTCCAAACCACACTGCCAAAGAGGTGGGTTC